GTTGGGGCAATAATAGTTGTAAGGCGCATAGAGCATGCCGTAGAGTGTGTGGAAATGCGTTACACGAATGCAATTATTATATTATCAGTATAGTGGTTGCTAAACAAATTTCCCTGTTGATCTTCTTGGTTGAAATAAATGTTGGATTGTGGACTCTATGGGATTTCCATGATAATTTGGGTAAAATCCTGCAAACTGAATCTCTCGCCTTCAACAAAGTCAGTCAAGATGTGCACCCTTATCTTACTTACTTTACTTTTTGTTCTTCCGCTTGTACCCTGGGGTGTTGCGGGGAGACACAGACGTCTGTCTTCAGCAAGTCGTGTGGCCTGTAGGAGGGACATCCCGTGAGCACCCTTATCAAAACTACATTAATCCTCTTTCCATCCCCACTCCAACAAGCTATTTAAGAATATGAGGTGTATTAGTTGCAAATGCTGTGGAACTCTTACTGCAAAATGAAATAACCTCTTTGCGGGTTTTTAAGAACATTAAATGACACTGTGTCAGACAGCCACTTGGTTTAGACACCCACATTTCTCATCGACAATAGGTAGCCGTCTTAGGAAATATCCGCTGCACATATAACCTCTCTTCTAATCTGCGTGTGTTCTTTGTGGTCTCCCTCAATATAATATATCTGCACCAGAACTGTGGTCCCAGTACAAAAGTCTCATGAATCCTGAGAATAATGACTATTTCTTTGACACACGTGTAAAACTGACTAAAACGCCACCCTTTACGATTCAATGGACCTCTTTTAGTTCAGTAGGTACCATGCCGGACTACGGAGTGAGTGACACTTGTTCGAATCCCAGATGAGGTTGTTTTTTTCAAAGTTTTCAGCCCATTTGGCTCGATCCTGTCGAGGATGATAAATTCAGTGATCGTGTCTCTTAAATAATGAATAGTGTTGATAGGCGCGCTAAACCTATACAGTTTCTATACTAGAAGTCCAAGTGCTATCAATAGTTGTTTAACTCCTCAAGGCTCTAACGAATCCTAGAATATCAGGAGATAATCACAGTGCTTCCTGAAAACTGCAATGTTGATATACCTCATTTAAATTCACATCATATTTACAGTACAGAGCTTTCCATTGTAAACGATGCCAAAGTTCGTTAAGCTTTATTCTATTTTTAGTAGATAGTGATGAGATATTACTCTGTTTGGTTTTTTTTGTCTTTTTATTTGTGTGAGTGTGACATTCAGCGATAATTACATTATTATGTATTGTGTTTGTTCCCTGGAAGCCGAGAATGCTGCTGAGTCTTATAGGGTTTGCTTGTGTAATAATAGTTATCAGCAGTAGCGGCTCGTGGTTTATAGAACTGACCGGCCGTCATTCACGTCGACAATTCCTTTCCTTCACAACACACACACACACACACACACACATACACACACACACACACACACACACACACACATACACACTCACACACACACACACACACACGCACGCACACACTCACACATTCCCTCTCTCTCTCTCTCTCTCTTTCTCTCTCTCTCTCTCTCTCTCTCTCTCTCTCTCTCTCTCTCTCTCTCTCTCCTTACTTTATACCCATACTTTCGCCATCCCCACCCCCTCCCCCACTCACACACACACCCCCCACTGTAAACATTGTAATATACTGAGAAAGAGCTAAAATATGCGGTAGCGTCAAGAAATAATATTATGAATAACGTATGATGGAAGTTACTGAGATTAATAGAAACTGACTTGATCGGCACAGAAAAAACCCACTACTAGGCCAGAAAACAAACTGAAAGTGAGAGGCAATAAACTGCTGGTCCTGGCCTTCAGTACTTTACTCGTACTTTCTACACCCCCACACAAAATATCGACGTGAACTGGACCCGTTAAATATATGTAATAAGAACTGTCCTGTATGATGACAAAAAGTTAATTGATACTGTACCAGTGACGCTGTCCCAAGCAGATCAATTCTACAATCAGATAGTATACAAAGCTGGACAAAGTTAGCACACAGCAGTTTCGGATCATTATATCTTCGATTTTTTTTTCTTCAACGCACTTCTCATTTCTCAGAACAGAACATTGTGTTGTAACAAAGTGGGGAAGTGTATCAAATGCTAATTATAGAACTTGGTGTCTAGCTGGGGTGACGGTGGAAAAGGGGAGGGAAGGGAGGGGGTAGGCCTGGCCCAGACTCTGACAGCCGAGTGCCTATCGCTCCTCGTTAAAATTCTCCTTATATATCTTCACTAGACAATTCCTCCTTCCACCGACCAGACTCCTATGGGCCAGTTAAGTTATTAGAGGGGAGAAAACGATGAGTAAATGTCAAACAGGAACTATGGGTGGTTAGAAAGTCAATAAACAAAAAAGATTAGTGCCATGCTAACAATAAATGTTCTGATAGTAATTAGAGAAAGGCTGAATGATAAATACATGTTTTGCTGATAAAATAATACATGTGTCTGTGCTGCTCAAGACAGTCTCAATCTTAATTTTGTAAGCTACAAAGAGGCCAATTTGCCAATTTAAGGGATGCTCTCTATTCCTTCTCAGGGTTGTCGATGGATTTGTCCATGGGACTGACGTCATCGTTAGGCCTAAGCCCTCCGTCGTGTGTTTGGCCTCGTACGTAGTAGCCTACGAAGTTCCGCGAAGTGACGGCTTGATGGAAGGGGAGACGATTTAAAGTTACGAGCCGGCGCGATAACAAACGTGAAGGAATGAGGCTCTGTCGCGACAAATAAACAGCAGTGAATCCCACTTCTCTATTTGAGAGCCTTCAAATCGGCAAGGTGCTTTTTGAATGTTGACACATGTTTGTTTGGATTTACTTAAAACTGAATGAAAATCATCATCAGCAATAAATCTCCTGTCAACAGTCCAGCTGAAAAAAATCTGACCGGCACCGCCGGACTTGCCCAGTTAACAAACCGCCCCTGGTTATCAGTATAGTGGTTGCTTAAGATGTTCCCTGTTTGTCTTTTTCATTAAAATAACTTTTAGACTTGCGGTCTCAATGAAATTTACATGCTACACAACGTAAAATCTTGAAAGTCAAATCTCAGGCCTTCATCAAAGTCAGTGAAGCTGTGCACCCTTTATGAAACTTTTTTTCCTTAACCTCTTTGAGGGCGCATCGGACGCATATCGCCACCCTAGAATCACAAAGTTCTGTCTGCACAGTGACTAGTTGTTGCTTTTTTTAATATGACGTTTAAATTTTTTAGTTTTATAACATGCCAAGCTTTTGCGAATGCAATTCTTTGCATATCTTGATAACGAATCTGAATAACCTTGCGATTTTGATAGAGAACATTAATTTGGTCTCTGACCTCATGGTTTTAGTAACTCAAACTGGCCAAAGATGTCAGATAAAATGTTTGTAATTCCAAAGTAGCTATATGTCCAACCTGCAGCAGATCCAAGGCAACGTTGCTATGCATTTTGAACTATCATACAAAATCAAAAACATAAATTTGCATATTTTGCAGTAATCATATTCTTGCCTGCTTTTAACAAACTTCAGATAAGGAAAACAGACTTGAAAAGTTTGTCCAAATAGAAAACTTGATAATATGCCTCTTTTTTTAAAGTGAAAGTAAAGTTGTTCCCGCATCCGATCCGGACATTGGGGATTCCAGTGTAAGTGAGACAACTTCCTGGGCCTTCGGCATATTGTGGTAGGGTGGCCAGTTCCTTTCCGCGCCTCCTTTACTTCCCCAACTCGAAGTCTAGTAACCATTAAGGCTGGGTGGGCAGGAGGGGGTGAAAAAGTCCATGTCCGAACCGAGGCTTCGGAGACGAGCGCACTAACCGCTCCGCCACTGCACCTTTTATTTTTTTAAGTACCGTGCCCCAAATTAGCGCGCCCTTAAATGAGTTAGCGTCTTCTTCATTTCCTTCTTCTTTTTCTTCTTCTTCTTCTTCTTAATATTATTATTATTTCTATTATTATTATCATCATTATTTCAAAATAATGCTGCTAGGCTTACATTAAAAAAATAGAAGAGGTATCTCATTTCGCCCATATTAAGAACGTTGCATTGGCTCCCCGTGTCAGCAAAACTGTCATATAAATTTGCAATGTTACGTCATAAATGTGTCAATAACAAAGCTCTCTCATATCTTAGTGATCTCACCTTATGTTCCATCTAGATCACATAGATCAGGCGATCAGTATCGTTTAAGAGTTCCTAGAAATGGAGGTAAAAATTTGCTGAAAGATCGTTTGCCCACGTTGCTCCATCAGTTTGGAACTCTCTTCTCCAACCCCTGAGTCATACAACATCTGAGTCTAAATTTTAAATATCTTTAAAGACACATTGAATTACATCATTTTTATACCAGTAGATTCCTGTTCGGTACAATGTTATGTAAATGAATATGTATCCATTTTATGTATTTTGCGAATTGCATAGCGTAGATTATTAATTATGTATTTATATGTGCTCATTTCGTAACAATGTGTAAGCGTGCATGCATGATACACAAGTAGATGTGTGTGTGTGTGTGTGTGTGTGTGTGTGTGTGTGTGTGTGTGTGTGTCTGTGTGTCTGTGTCTGTGTGTTTGCGTTTGTGTGTGTTTGGTGTGCATGTGTGTGCACGAGTGAGTGTGTGTGTGAGTGTGTTTGTGTGTTCGTGTGTGTGTGTGTGTGTGTGTGTGTGTGTGTGTGTGTGTGTGTGTGTGTGTGTGTGAATAATGTTCATATAATATGCATTGATGTAAAGCTCTTAGAGCTGTCTTCACATGGGAGAGGGTGCTATAGAAATGATCAACATTATTATTATTATTATTATTATTATTAATATTATTATTATTATTATTATTATTATTATTATTATTATTATTTTTGTTATTACTATTATTATTATTTGTTTATTATTATTTGTTTATTATTGTTTTTATTACAATTGTGATTATTATTATTATTATTATTATTTAACTTCTTCATTCGCGCAAGCTAGTTGAAAATATAGCAGGTTCACACCAAGATAAAAAACAAACACACACCAGTATTGCTTGTACTCTTTATTTCTGCATATCTTGATAAAACATGTTTCGAGGTACAACACCACTGTCAGTTGTTCAATAGTAATGTGTGTGTAGGCGTGTATTGTTTTTTTGTGCATGCATGTTTGTGTGTGTGTGTGTGTGTGTGTGTGTGTGTGTGTGTGTGTGCATGCGTGCGTGTGTAAATAATTATTTCAAGTATCTAGTATGTGCTTTCTTTCGCTTTTCCGTGGGTAGCATTTTACAGACATGAAGACATCTGGCCCTTACACGTTCCCAATAGTAATGAATATCTTCAACACAATGTGATGGTTGGTATGGCAGTTTCTGGGCAAATAACCTGCGGTTCACAGCAGCCTGGGTAGTTTTGGTTCATGTCGTAAAACACTTCGCAGTCCTCTTGGTCTAAGAGAATACTCGAAGAGCCGCAACTGGTAGAATGGATGAGAAAGAAACAGTAGTTCTTGTGTAAAAGCGATATTTTTCTTGAATTCAGCATCATCCGCCTGCCTGCTGGTCAGTCTATCTATCTATCTATCTATCTATCTATCTATCTATCTATCTATCTATCTATCTAGTTTTTTCTTTAATCTACGCTCATTGTCCTTTAGTTACGTTAATGATTAAATAGCTGTGTGCGATATACTGAAAAGGCTTGACCAAAGACACAAAAATTATTAACCTGCAATTTCTGAGAACATTCAAGCTTTGGAAGTCACCAAACTTTGGCGGTCATATTCTCACTAATTTGACATCTGACAACAGGCGACCATCTGCTCTTTTAACTGTAAGTATCTCGTCTTCTGTTTTACATAGATGGATATTTTTTCTATAACAACAAAGCAAAGGAAAATAGGCTTTCATTCAGGTAATACCAATAGCTCCATAATATGTCCAAAAATTGACGAGCGCCTGATTCCACCGTGTCTTAACACAATTGCTTAGGAATTTACCCGTTGACAGTGTACGTGGCTTCTCCACATGAATACTCAGTGCAGGAATCTCCATACCAAGTGTCACCTGGGCTATGACCATCTGGACATCCTTCACCTGAAAGACAAGTTAAAATTTTGATTTAAATACATATATTTTACTCCTCCATCTTCACAATTTTGATCGTTTAGGAGGCCGTCATAGACCCTGCCTGTCCGGGTCAACCCAAGCTTGGTGGGATACAGCATCCCAACAAATAAGTTCAAGATACATTGTATTCGATAAAAAGGCTCCCTACTCAGGAATTGATCTCGAATATACTGATGAAAAGTATGAGAAGCAGTTCGAGTCAAAAGAAAAACTAAACTATTGTGCGGTCCGAAATTCGTGGCCCAACTTATATTCAAATATCTTTATAACGGGTGAATCAATGTCACCCATAATTTGCACAGCAGTTTGTCTCAATTTGTTTTAACTTAATTATATTTTTCCACACTAATAGAGGATAGATTAAAAAACTTTTCTTCAAAAAGTTATATAAAATACCACAAACCTCCTTCACGCGGAAAATAGAATTGTTCACAGCACTTCCTGCTTCTCACACACATTTTATATACGCATATTATGACTTACATCACAGCTCACCAATGACACTTTTTAAACGCAAAACTAGTTACAAGAAATTAATGTTTTTGTGAACATTTTTTAAAGGTCTCAAAACATGCGATCAATAAAGATAATCTCGCGATTAGAAAACAATAACGGACTTGTTTTTAAAAGCGACATCGTCCCAGCTGTAAACCTTTTAAAATCAGTAGAAACCACCCACTCAGAGCTTTCATTAGTATTTGTTAAGGAAATTTACAGAATAGAGCTAACCGGTATTCCCAAAAATATTGATCTGTTAAGACAAAATTAGTATACGTCACTGTGCAAAAGCTAGAGAGTTTACGTTCAATAGTTGTGGAGATATTTAGCAATAAGTTGCGCCTCGAATCTCTGATCTCACTATCAGCAAGACAACCCATTATATCGGTCTTCAAGTGTGATGCGATCGGAAAAAAAGAAGAATGACAGTAAAAAAAGCTGTTAAAAAGAACGCAAAAAAGCTCTTTTTTACTTTTAATATGTATACAGGGTAAAAAAGGCAATACCAGTTGCTAACTGTCGTAGAAAAGATACCAGTTGCACCTCAGAATGTATACCTTCATGAGGTCCGAACAATTTTATTGACCGGGAGATCATAGGTAGAGGTGCGCCGAGTCCTATGTTTTAACATGCACAGATTCATTTAAAGAGAGTCCTTGATATGGCTGAGCAAAGAAAGTGGAGAGCCTTGAAAAAACTCTCTAAACAACAAGTTCGAGGATTATACGAGTCGCGATCATCGTAAGTCAGAATGATACCACCTGGAAAGAACATTGCTGTGTCTCTTCACTAAATGTTTCTTTTACAGAGAGGAGCAAAAGGGGGTTATGAACTCGGAATATCTGTAAAGAAATCCAAGACTGCTGTTTCTATAAATTGGTTTTTAAGAAAAATGTACCATATCTTGACACCTTAATCAGCTTTTACTTCAATATCCAACGACTCCCCTACTTCCCTTAAATGAGGTATATTTCAGAACCCCAAATGTTGTCTTGAAGCTGATTAGTTGAACTTATCCTCCTGTCATCATAACAAGAAAGGCATAATGTTGTGCTTCTGCTCCCTGGCTCCACCAAAAGATATGAATTGACTTACCAGAGGACGTCGAGGAATACACCGCACAGATGAGAGCGAAACAGACGACGAGAATTGCTTGACCACGCATTTTGGAAAAAGTTCTGTTTCCTAATACCCACAAACGAAGTACTCGTGGTTTATATACACGAAATCAATTTGTATATGCAGCATATATTATTCATAGGATATTATATTAAGGAGACATTTTTAGTGTTACTAAATAGAGCCTTTGAAGACCGGAAAGTATTACGCGTTTCAAATGTCAGACGGTTTTATTTTTCGGATTCAGGGTACAAAGAACATTTTTTTAAAGATATCTTGTCTTTATATGTTATTACCAAGAAATTAGATATTAAGGTAAAACCCGTCTGCTCTCGGTGTTCATAAAAATGGATGTGTCCCAAAGTGAGCTTAGTGAAATGGAATACGGATTATACTGCTGTAGCAAGATACAAAAGGTAGAAGGAATAATATTGCATTAAGTGAGAGTAACCCTTTCATCTAGTTCATAAGGTTGAGTGTAAGATGTTCTGATTGCAGGAGTCTCCAGAAAGTTTGTTTGGGGTACTTTATTTGTTAATGTTCCAAATGTTCCAAAGCTCGTACGTTATTAATTGAAAAATATAGTTAGACGTTGGTTCACATTTCTGCGTGGGTGTTTATCTGATTAATAAATCTTTATATGCTCCAGTTTACTTTTTTTTAAAGCATGTTGCTAATTATAATTTTTTGTTAAACTCTGTGCATTTTGCATACTTCCCAATCTCCACTTTAAATAGTGATTCTCAAAGTGATGACATTCTCTTTCACAGGTAGAAATTTCGATCACTGTGATTCGGTGGGAAATAATAACAATGGCGACCCTGATTAGTATGAAAAATATGCAAATTTACCATGTTGAGTTTAGAACAACCTCACATCGTCCCTAAACAGCCCCGAATCCTTTAAGGTTTCAGGTGGCTATCTCAGAATTACAAAGTTCTATCTGCTCAGTACCTGATTTTGAGAAATTTTTCCACAAAGTTTTTGAGTATCACATCATGTCAGGCTTTTTCTAATGCAATTCTTTAAATATATTGATAACGACTCCGAATAATCGTACGATTTTGATAGAGCAGAGAGAACATTTGATTTCTAATCTCATGGTTTTAGTAACTCTGAACGGTCAAAAATGTCAGATAGAACTATATAAACCACGAAAAGGAAGCAACAACGCAAGCGCCCACGCGTTTCTGTGCGAATGTAAACTTGAATGATCCCCTTTGTCTTCATTGCAACAGGTCACTGCTGTTGGAGTCAAGCCATTTAATCTGATACAACTATGAATACTTGCCACATTCAATAAACATGCTAAACGGATATACCACATCACCAAAACACCCAAAGCAGCCATGCAAGATAGAAATATCAACGGCGCATAATGACTGTGAGAAGCTATGATTTAATTTGGACAGGCTAATTGCTTTCCCATCGCTGACCTCATAGACATTGCCACGAAAGCCATGTCAAAGTGATATCAAAACAGAGTTTAACAAGAGGATTAATTGCTGTTACATAATATATCATGTATGAGAACTGTGGGAGGGAGGGATTTGGGGGAGGGGGGGGGGTTAAATAAAACCAGGCATCAAATGATGTAGCACGCACCATTTATTATTGGATAGTGAAATAGAGGAGGGGAGCATCTGAGTGTATTCATCTTTGTTGGTGTTTTTATGAAAGGCTTAAGGGTTTTGTTTTTGTTTCGAATTCGTTGTATTGAGCCTCTCTAGAAAAGCAAATTCTGTATCTTACCTTTTTTATTTGCCAATTTTCCTAACACTGCTCATTTGTATCTCGTCCACCCACATGTCTTATGAAGCAACAGAATGGGCATCATTCCAAAAGCCATGCGGGATGCCTTTCCATGTGCATGTACAACGATCCCGACTTCAACCCCATTGAGATTGTGTGGTATGAACTTCACAGGAGAGTCAAGCAGCACCAGACGCCACAAGCGAATGGAATGTATGTATGTATGTATGTATGTATGTATGTATGTATGTATGTATGTATGTATGTATGTATGTATGTATGTATGTATGTACGTATGTGTGTATATATGTGTGTATGTATGTATGTATGTATGTATGTATGTATGTATGTATGTATGTATGTATGTAAGTATGCATGTATGTATGTATGTATGCATTGTATGGAAAGTTTGATCCTTAACTCGCCCCCTTTTGTAGTCCAACGGTTTTTAAACTCACAGAAGCAGGGTATCAAAACTGGTGAATGACCATTCACATCTCTGAGCATTGCGTGTATGTGTGTGAATGTGTGTGAATGTGTTCTTAATTTGAACTACAGTGTTTATAGTTATCCCTGCTCACCACGAAGAGGTAGGAATAGAACCTTAAGAGGGTATATGATTATCATAATCTTTTGTTAGATATCAATGATTAAAAAAGGGGTAAAACATCAGTGAGGGCTGAGATAAAACATTTTAAAGGAGCAATTTGAAATCATTCTCTTTACAAACTGTTCAATTGTAATTTCCTTCTTCGCAAATTCCTCTTTCAGACTGGTCCAGTATTTTAGTTTCAGCATGTCGCTCTTTTTCTGTTCAGCACACTGGCCAGCCTCATTAACGGCATTGATTTTCAGGCGAATCAAAATGAAAATGTTTGGTGACGCGCACCTAAAGTGTTGTCATGCGCATAGGTAAATTGAGGAATGGGCTAGAATTTTGTATGCCTACAGACGAAAGTAAACAAGCTGTAGATTCAAAGGCATTACAAACCTGTTGTTGATATTTTTGTCTGATCTCCAGATATACAACACAGGTCTACACAATACACAAAACATCAGTGATTGATAATTGGCCGAAACTTCATTCAAGTGTACACACACAATAATCTAAGCCCAGCGACATCATAGCAGTAAACACAAGCTTCATTAAAGAAAAAACAGTGCGTATGTACTCGTATGTGTGTGAGTGCGCGCGCACGTGTGTGTGTCTGTGTGTGTGTGTGTGTGTGTGTGTGTGTGTGTGTGTGTGTGTGTGTTCTGTCTGTATGCCTGTGTGTGGTGTGTGCGTGTGGGGGGGGGGGCTGCTTAGTCTATACCTTGGTCTGGAGCAGAGAAGATTTCCAGACTAGGCTTACGTCACACAATGCGTGAATGCAGCGCAGTTCCAATAGTAGCAAGTACTCGATTTCTCTGTGATTGCTTCATTTAGCCATATCGATTCCTGGGGGGGGGGGGGGAGTTCATGATTTGCTTCCCAGACTGGTGACGTGATTATTTCTTTACCCGGGGGACGGGGGCGAATTCAAGATTCCCAGTAGGTAGGCGGGTAGGTAGGTAGGTGGCTAGGCAGTTGGTAGTTATGTAGGTAGGCAAGTCGGTAAGTAGGTAGGTAAGCAGGTGGATATGTAGGTAGGTGGATAATTAGGTAGGTGGATATGTAGTATGTAGGTAGGTGGATTGGTAGGTGTGTGGGGGATAGTTAAGCACCTGGTGACCAGAAAAATT